CAGCAGTTTAAAAAAACGCCTCACCGTCGAGGAGAAGCATGTCTCATATGTCTGGTATAAAACTAATTGACTTACCTGCGTTAATTGGATGTGTGGGAGAAACCTGGTATGGTATGGCTGGGCCACCAGAGTCCCCCAGATACTCAATGAGTGTTTGGCTGGCAGACAGGTGGCCCTACCTCCCCACACGATCCTCCCGAAGCTCGCACGCCCCTGGCGTACGGGCGGAGGCTTTTTGCCTTTAGTTCATTACAAAATAAAAGTCTTATTTGTTTCACTATGGCTAGATTAAGAATAATTCTTAATTTTTAAACACCATTTTATGGTCAAAATTATTTGCCCCTTTAAGCTATTATTTCCTACAGTCTACAGAACAAACCACTGTTATACAATAACTTGTGTAGTTAACATAGTTAAATCTTTAAATGTGCCCTTCAAGCTTTATAGAAGTGTTTTGAAGAATATCTAGTGAAATATTATTTACTGTCATCATGGTAAAGATAAAATAAATCAGTTATTAAAGATGAGTTATTAAAACTATTATGATTAGAAATGTCTTGAGAAAATATTTTCGCTAAACAGAAATTGGGGAAAAAAATAAACAGGAGGGCTAATAATTCTGACTTCAACTGCATATAAATGAGTACATAATTGAGGACACCCCATTTAGAAAATTTTTATTTTGATGCATTTCTCAGTAAATATAAGAACTAAATTTTGGTGCATTTGAACAAAACAGATTTATTTAACAGATATATTTATTAAAATAATATTTTAGTCACCGAACATCTTTAAAAATGGAAAGATAATACAATTAAATTCATGCAAAATATTGGGGAAAATTACAAACTGCAAAATTTCAGCTAAATTGTATGAATTTTTGTTTCTTGTGAATTTTGCTCTTTAAAAAAAATTTAATTATAATATATATATACATACAGTTGAAGTCAGACTGATTAGCCCCCCTGAATTATTAGCACACTTGTTTATTGTTTTCTCCAATTTCTGTTTAACAGAGAGAAGATTTTTCAATATCTTGCAGCCCTAACTGACTTAATTATATTCATTTAATTTGTTTCCTTAAATATTAATTACCTTTTCAGCTTAATTCCTTTATTCATCATGGGTCACCACAGCGGAATGAACCGCCAACTTTTCCAGCATATCTTTTACGCAATGGATGCCTTTTCACCAGCAACCCATCACTGGGAAACACCCATACACACTCATTCACACACACACACACACACACACACTATGGGCAATGTAGTTCACCCAATTCCCCTAAAGCGCATGCATTTGGACTGTGGGGGAAACCGGAGCACCCGGAGGGAACCCACACCAACATGGGGAGAAGATGCAAACCCCACACAGAAATGCAAACTGACTCAGCCGATATACATATTTTGCCAATATATTTTGCTTTAAAAAGTAAGAGAAGGGTGAATGAAACTCTGGGTTTACTGAAGAAAACCCGATCCTCATCAGGTTAGGTTTATAGATTAGCTTCAGGGTTAACAAACTCAGTTTCACTCATCCTCCACTCTGAAAAGGGCAGCAGTTCTCCACACCATCCCAGTTCATAACCATCCCTGTCTTCTTGCTGAACAGGATTCCTTCTCCTAAAACAAAACAAACATAAAAAAGATTGTTATTAGACAATTAGTCAAATGATTCAGCAATCAAAAACCACAAAAGAATAAATTGATTTAACACAATGAGCTCATTTACTATTTTTAAAAACTAAGATTGTTATAATTTTTGTAAATGAAAGCAGATCTGGTACTCATCCTTGAGTATGAGACGAAAACACCAGTATGGAGCTAATAGCTACATGTACCGCATCCAGACTGTACAAGTTGAGCTCGGAAATGTTGGTTTTAGGTTTATCAGCTAAAGCACTTCATATTTTCTCACACTTTCACAGTTTAGAAAGAGAAGCTTACATCTAGGTGAAATACTGTAAATATTTATACCTATATATTTGTGTGATGTATACATAAATGAAGGGGAAAACGTCAGAAAATATTAAGAGCTTTAGCTGATTTGTACTGAATGATTATGAGAAGAGATGTTGCCTATTTCTGCTCTGTATGTACCGTATAGTTAGAGGTGTAATAGCATTGTTACTTGTAGTAAACCAGCCTCTAAGCATTTACTGGAATCTTCTAGAAATACTTTATTCTTCTTTGCGTTTTGGTTCTGTCGATGTAATTCGCAGACGATCCCTAAAAATGCGTGCGCGAATGTCTGGCGAACATCAAACCTAAAACCAACCGAGCTAGTGGAGGTTAACTCCAGCACACAGAGAATGTAAGTTTGTCAGACCCTCTCGAATTAAAAGCTTTATACATCCTTAATATAATTATGATCATAATTCTGCTCGCTTGAGTATCACAGACAGCGAAAAGCACGAGTGAACAGACTTTATTTACCTCAGACCGCTTCAAGGAGATGTGTGCATTTGACCCAAACAGGGCATTTATATATTTATTATTTGTGTGTTTACTCGTGTTAAGTGCCACTTAACCTTATACAGTCATAATTGATAAGTAAATGTGGATTTATAGAGCACAACCTTACCTGTTCCTCAGGCACTTCATTTTCAATAAGCCTCCAGTCACGCCATCATCAACTCGTCGCGTTTGAATGCCTAAATGACAGCTTAAGTATAATATCTTAACTAAGTAGCATCAATACTGTAAAATGAAACTGAAAATGGTCATCTCGACATGTCACTGTAAGTATATTAGCGACTGCAGATCTCCACTCGAGGAGCAGTTCTCGGCGGTGGACAAAAGCATATGAGCGTTGTGATTGGCCGGATCACCTGTCAATCAAACGGCCAACGACAGTTTAAATCTTTTTCACCTGCGACCGCAGAGAGTCCCAGCTCCGAAATGAACGCGTTGATCGGCCTTCTAGACATCATTTCTATCAAAAAAGTAGAGAAAATCCTGATTCGGACTTGTCTGGAACGCAGAAAATGACTTTGTGTTTTAATCGCCGCAATGCATTGTGGGAAATGTAAACAATCGCTAATTAAACGTTCAAAATGCTAATTAACACATATTTAAACAATAAAAACAGCCCCATGTTGTTGGTAAACTCGTGTTTATTCTATTTTAATAGGATTTAGCAGCAGTTTAAAAAAACGCCTCACCGTCGAGGAGAAGCATGTCTCATATGTCTGGTATAAAACTAATTGACGAACCTGCGTTAATTGGATGTGTGGGAGAAACCTGGTATGGTATGGCTGGGCCACCAGAGTCCCCCAGATACTCAATGAGTGTTTGGCTGGCAGACAGGTGGCCCTACCTCCCCACACGATCCTCCTGAAGCTCGCACGCCCCTGGCGTACGGGCGGAGGCTTTTTGCATTTAGTTCAATACAAAATAAAAGTCTTATTTGTTTTATTAAGGCTAGACTAAAAGCAGTTCTTATTTTTTAAACACCATTTTAAGGTCAAAATTATTAGCCCCTTTAAGCTATTTTTTCCAATAGTCTACAGAACAAACTAAAATTAATATCTTGATGCATTTTTCAGTAAATATAAGAACTAAATTTTAGTGCATTTGAACAAAACAGATTTATTCAACAGATATATTTATTAAAATAATCTTTTAATCACCGAACATCTTTAAAAATGGAAAGATAATACAATTAAATTCATGTAAAATATTGAAGGAAAAGATATTACAAACTGCAAAATTTTAGCTAAATTTTAAGAATGTTTGTTTCTCATGAATTTTGCTCTTTAAAAAAATAAAAATATAAAAAATATGTACAGTTGAAGTCACATGTCTAATCATAATAGTTTTAATAACTCATCTCTAATAACTAATTTATTTTGTCTTCGCCATGATGACAGTAAATAATATCAGACTGGATATTTTTCAAGACACTTCTATACAGCTTAAAATGACATTTAAGTGCTTAACTAGGTTAATTAGGCAGGTTAGGGTAATTAGGCAAGTCATTGCATAATGATGGTTTGTTCTGTAGACTATTGAAAAATATATAGTTTAAAGTGGCTAATAATATTGACCTTAAAATCGGTTTTAAAAAAAATGTAAAACTGCTTTTATTATAGCCGAAATAAAACAAATAAGACTTTCTCCAGAAGAAAAAATATTATCAGACATACTGTGAAAATTTCCTTGCTCTGTTAAACATCATTTGGCAAATATTTAAAAAAATAAGAAAAAAATCAAAGGGGGCTAATAATTCTGACCTCAACTGTATAAACGTTACTACTACTATAAATAGTTAAACCTTTATTTATGTCCATGCACAACTCAAAAATAAACAAATATGAAGCATCACATGTTAAGCAAGTCCATAAATGATGAAAGGACAATGTATTTAAATTATGGTAAATAAACTCTTCTTTTTTGCTTTAAAAGCAGCCCAATTTAAAATAAACAAACATTTTACTATAATTAAAATAACAAAGTTACTTCAAATAATTCAAAATAGAGTAGCCTATGCAGCAACGTTTTAATTGTGGCTAGTTTAAAATAACAAAAAGTATATTTTACTATTATTTAAAATATAAAGAGCAAACAACTTATGTTTCTTATGTTTGTAATTACGTGCAAGCGAAGTTAGAAATGCAAGTTATTTACCCTTTGTTGGTGTCACAATTCCAGTATATCCACAGCACACGTGCAATGGTCAAAACTTCTTTTTTATGGTAGTTTTTATTCATTTAGCTGTAAAAAAAAAAAAAAACACAATTAAAACACAATTGTAATTGTATTTTCGAAAGGAAACTGATTTCTATTGACGACACTGTAAAATATTTGTGAAGGGAGACAGCAGCAGAACCACAAATTTTTGGTCAAAGAGCCACATGTAGTCCCTTTACTCTGTATTGTTTTAATTCTTAAAAACAACTAACATTTTACAAATTTGGACTTATGTATGGTTCATTTTGAAGGAACAACACCAAGTTCAACACATAAACAATTTTCTTTTCGGTTGTTCGCGCTCATTAT